TTCGCGAATCCCGAATCACGAAACGCGAATCCCGAATCACGTTTTCCGGAGGCTTCTCCGGATCACCACTGGACTTTTTGCGTGTTCCTTCCTTCTCAATGCAACTGAACAAAGACCTATTGGGCCTATTGGTCAGTTGAAAATCTGGGTATACGGTATAGAGATGCAAAGAGGGAAATTGGAGAAGTTCTTCCCCTAAGCGCGGGGATTCTGACCTCAACATACGTGGCACGTCTTGTTTGCTCTACCCCCACCACCACCACCACCACCACAACAACAACAACAGCAACAATAAAAATGACACACACAAACAAGTGTGATCCCATCTTCTTCGGAAGAATGAAGCGATTGATTGTTTCGGTCATCAAACCTTTCTCGCGATAAAAAAAGAAATGGTGGAGCTTTCCGCGGAATGCCCCTTCTCACATGCCCTTGTCAAATGCGAGGCTAACCAGTAGCCGGAGGTTCCCCTTCTCTCGGCACACACGAAAAAGAAGGTTTGTGGCCATAACTCCAGTGACCAGCTGGATTCTGACTACACTCCCTGGAATAAGAATCCCGGTCCGGAAGTGTGAAAACCAGCTGTTTGGTCTTCGGAGAACTCAGGGACCATCCAAACTCGGAGCCATGTTCCCATCCCATCGATGTTCGCCCATGATGATTTCAGTCACTCGAAATGGTTCCAGTGTGGTTCTGTGATTCTGCCAATCACTCGAAATGGTAGTGACCGCTGCACTGAGGCTCCGACTGGATCCTGACTGAAAGCATCCTGACTGACACCAATCAGCTGGACTCGAACACCGGGCGCCACCGGCACTGCAGGCATCTGGATCCGATAGATCTGTAAGACCATACCTGGCGCTGGCTGATTGCCGTCAGTCCTCACATGGGCAGTGGTTTCAATCCAATAGACAACAGGCTCCAGAATCTAAGAAGTGCTATAGGTGGGGTAGCTCTGCCATTCTACCAAGCTTCCAACAATCAATGGATCAAAAACCCTCAACAGCTCGCCCTCAAGCGTTTCCTCTCCCAGAAGTTCGGGACAAACGAAAAAATCCGATCTAATCCGTCTTGTGCCCAGCCAGAGCGATGACAACCCCCCCATCAACCAAGAACCAAATAGCTCTACCTCTCCAACTCCTAAAAGCCATTGGGTTTAAGTCCTTGGTTCCAACTTCCTTACATCTATATTTTGTGTTTTCCAAGACTAACTACATCAAAAACATATGTCACATGTCTGTATCAATTGCTGGGTACTTTCTATCTCCTTTCCAGAGAACTTCCCGCGGCATGTTCGCCCTTTCGCGACCCCCAACGCAGCGACTGCCCTAGCGACTGCCAAAACCGGCCAGAGCGAGAAATCCCACGCAACGCCACAGAAGGGACATCGGCGTCGCGCGTTCCGTCGTTGGGTCGCCCAGGACGCCGGTCCACCATGGCGGAGGCAAAAAGGAGACTCGTTTGTACGGCTCCAAGTCTGATTTGGACAAAGCGGAGGCTCCTGCAGTTTTGACTACTTTTTGATTGGTTCCTTTGTAGGGGCGAGGTCCATAGAATAAAAGGACGTCCTCTACAGGTTGGTTGCTGGCAGTCCCAAAAGTTCAATCCGGCATGTTCACGTGCTCCAAAAAGGGATCCTTTTTGTCAGGTGAGTGGAAAGCACACACTTTCCAAGGAAAAGCTAAGACCCCCGTTTTCGCGTTTCTTCACCACAGGTCTTTTCTGCTCCCCTTTTTGTTTGGTAAAAACGCTGAGGCCAAAAGTGTTCGGAGTGCCGCATGTAGCGCCCCTCTGTGCGCCATCACGACGGGTTTGGAATCTATACATCTATACATCATGACTTGGTGCCGTTCGGATTCGCCTTGTCCGACCGATCCCTGGCGCATAGCCAAGCGAACCTTTCAATCAGGAACTGCTTCTGATGCATGAGTCTGAATTGTCCTGACCATCTACGTGCTGCCATCTACGGCTTGCAGCTCTCATCGCAACCTACTTGGCATTTTTGAGCCATTTGGCCTCGCCAAGGCGCACGTGGCAACAGAGAACAACTATCATTGGGCCATTGGGCTGGCACTGAAACCAAATGTATTCGCGCGGTTCCCGCAAAAAGCAAGAAAGTTATCAAAGTTGCTGAGAGGGACCTTCAGAAACGCCGCAGGGGGAGACTGTTGTATAGGTCATGTTTGTCTCTTTTGCATGTGAAAGCTAAACCACTTCAAATCCTCCTGCCGGTATTTCTACGGAAACTGTGCCCTTTGATATGAGCTGGGTCTACCTGTCTACCTGCCTCTGTGTACAGTACATGAAGGTGTCTTTCAAAACTCGTGTTGGCCTCCTCCCAAGTGCTAAACCCACAATACCATCCCAGAGTTCAACCACCCAAACTCGCCCCCCATCCTCCCAGCTCGCCCACTGGCGCAGAACGCTCGCTCGAAAACAGCTTATCGCTCAACCCACTTGCACGTCTCCTTCCAGGAATAGCCCTTGGAGACCAAGTAGGCCAAGTACTCCCGAAAGCGAGGCCGAGACTTGCTGGGGACCTGCGTCCCAGCGTTGCGGAAGGGTACGGGTAGCATGCGCTCTCCAAGACTTGCATGTCTAGATGGTGCGAAGAGTGTTTTTGTTTGCGAATTAGAAAACGACTTGACCCCTCACGGTCCTCAAGGTGTTCAAGTTGAAGTTCAACTAATAGTTTCTCTTGACTGAAAGCCAGGGAAAATTCATCTTCAACGAAGCTGCTCAGTCGCTTCCCCACTCATCACTCTCGGTGCCTGCAAGCCCACCAGCACACGGGCCACGTCCGCGCCATGTCCACGGTAGTGAAAGAGCGAAACGTTGAAATCTGCAAGACGTGGCTGGTGAGTGGGGTGTCTTGTTGTTCAAAGGCCACATCAAAATGCAACTGCTACTCCTGCTTCAACAATTGTGGAAGTGGAGAATGGCCCCTTGGAAGACATGTTTCCTCTCTAAGGCGGGGGTCTTCCACTTCCATGATTGTTGGTAATTTGTCACTGTCACTGTCATCATTCTCTGCAACGTCACCTGATGGAAGTTGTTCCAAGAACTTCATCAAAGCCCCAGGCTTCTCCGGGAATTCGAAGCTGAAGAGACCCTCCTGTGAACGGGAAGCTGCGAACGCAGCTCGAGCGAAAGCGCCAACCGGCCGGATGGGTGTGGAAGTTCTGTCGGCACGTCCAAGTGCGCTAAACAAACATAGCAATCCTTCCCTGACCGAGAAAATGTTCTTCCTCAGGGAAGGAACAGAACATAGTGCACAACATGTCACTGTGTCTGGTATTTCATGGTAAGATATCATGGTATTTCACGGTCATTTGTCCGGCTCCTCACCGTACCAACGAGGAATTGTTAGAAAAAAAAGGTCCTTGGTGGCTTTTTGGGGGTACAAAGGCACCACTCTCGACCGCACGAGGTCATTCAAAACCGCACTGAATCCATAGCTCTTGACCACTCTCCGCTGCCCTCCTCCGCGGTGAGTTCAGTCGGTGCTCGCCCACCTGTGCAGCAAAACGCGCTTTTTGGGGGGGCCCCACCTTTGTCATAGAAAAAGACACCAACTTCATCCAATGTCCATAGATGTCCATAGACTCTATGACGCTCTATTGCATTTGTCCTCTATAAAGTTCTATGAGGTTGTTTGATCGGGCCGTTGGACGCTCCAAGACGGCACCAACACCCCACTCGCATATTGCAGCGCTCCAGAGAATCGCATATATACATCTGAGAGGCTGCAAGACGTTCTCGGAAGAGCCACTGATATAAATGTTTTATATATATAAATACAATACATAAATAACTTATTGTATATATATTCTTATAAAATGTAGGATATTGATTTAAAAATACCCCCCCATATTAAGGTTTTGGACACCAAATGGGGAGGTTATTAGTCAAGAGTCTACACGAAACGGTTCTTCCTAACCATTCGGATGATCCATCTATATATGAAGGAGCTGAAAAATGCTTAAACCATTAAACCTTTTGCGCCATCACCCTCCGAGGCGCCAATGAGGCTCCTCCCGTGTGTCTTGGCCAACTCATTCTCGCTGAGGTCCATGACGTCGTAACCGGCCGTCCTCGGCCCAGGACGGAGGGAGCTTGCTGATGGTAAGTTACCATAGGTAACTCGGTGGAAGTCTTGGTGGGAGGTGCTTGTGGCTTTGCAAAGGATCAGCTCATATTGAAATGAAAGTGACCAACAGTTTCAAGAGATCTTGCAGCATGTCATGATCTTCATTTGATATACATTGTAGCTCTGCGAATGATGAAGGCTGGTGCCTTCCTACGAAGCATTCTGCATGACATCGGTGGATGGAAACGGCTGTACCGCGGTCGCGAGCGAGTGAAAAGCTGATTTGGCCCCTCCTCAACGTGTTCAAGGCCTTCGCCCGGTCGTCATCTGATTTGGCCTGCGGAGAGGATTGCGGTGTCTTGAGTCCCGAGCAAAAAGATTGAAAAGGATGGTGAAAAGGATTGTCTAGTGAGTGTGGGGGAGAATCAGCCGTCATCTTCTGGACTGCTTGATTCTGACTCACAGCCATGTGGGGGATTGAGGTGCACCATGTCCAGATGACGGAACCATCTGCAACCTATAAAACTCCCAAATGGAATGCTTGGCGAACACTTTTCAACGGACGATCAGTGAAGCAGACTCCTTCCGGTTGGTTCAACCAGCCAACCCAAGTGACTCTCGACCATTGCCAAACAGTCAAGCAGACAATTGCATGGTTGTCTTCAGCAGCTTTAGTGCAAGCTGCGGTGTAAAAGCACCTGTCGAATTAGGGGAACCTCCGCACGAAAACGGTCTCACCAAGCTCGTCCCTGAGAACCTCCGCGAACTTCGGCCACGCACAGTGCCACAGCCACACGCATGCCACACGCCACAGCCTCGCCTGGAAGCTCATGAAGATACTCGCAGGATTCCCACTGATGCGATAGGTGAACTCCTCGACAACTCCATTTTGGGTGCCGACTGCTGAGGACCGACCCGACTCGGAGCGTCCCTTGTCTTGGGCTTCTTGGTATTCGAAAAGCCATGATGCCAACAAATCTAAACACCAATCTCAATTCACAGCAAGCAAAGATTGCAAAGAAAAGGAAATTCATCTCTTTTTCGAGTCCCTTTTTTGTGCAGACGTCCAAAACCAACAAGTATAGGCAGAAAAAAGACCAACACCTAGACCTCCCTCTCTCGGTACGCAAAAAATAAGCGTTCTCCGTGACGTTCCGAGGGAAGATGAAGCGGTAGAAGTCGATGAAGGCGCCCGGTCTCTCGGGGATGTAGACCGCCTCGGCGCGTGTGTCGGTGGTCCGAGGTCCACCGGCGTACAGGCATCCAGTCGCGTGTGCGATTTGTTGGCCACGGGCTGGATGAAGCTGAAGTGAAGAAAGCAAAGCACTCCGCACTGACCCTGCCAACACACTTGTTTGGCTAAAGTGTTGAAAATAACTTCTGTAAGGCACTGTAAAACAGGATGACACTTGCAAATCAGTAGAGCAGGTTCCGTGTAGTAGAAACTCCACATCATGTAATCTTGCAACTTGCAACCAGGTGAGCCGCAGGACAAACCCAAAAACTCAATCCCTCATCCTGTTCTCAAGAAACTGATCATATCTGCAATCTTCCAGGAGCAAGATAGAATCAGGAGCAACCAGGATAAGTAAACCTCGTCCAACCTTTCTCTGCAATGCTACCAACTTTCAAAAAAGTCTTCTGGCCGAGCTTGTGAGAAAGCCTTGGATTTGTTGGTCTGGCCTGCCTGTTAGTTTGGTCCATCTGTCTCCCTTTGTTCACAACAATCCATCAGTCATCCTATGGTCCCTACCTTTCCCCAAGATTCGTCTTGGGGATCCTCCCCATGAAGAGATGTGTCTTGACGACCAAATTCGCAGGTGATTCAGACCCAGATCCTGAATAAGACCCCCTGATGAAGCTGGACGCCGTTCCAAGGCCTTCCAAAAAAGAGGCAGGACGCCGTTCTTGGGCCCCCCAGGACCTTTGGGAAGATGCTCGGTTGAAGATCTCCTCCAGAACCGCATTCCATGATCAAAGGGATCCAGCCAAAAACTCTCCTCCCTCAACCCCCCCCCGCATCCCACCAATCGCCGCAGTGGCAATGTGGGTCTCCGAGGTGTCCGCGCGTTCGGAGACAAAGCGGAGACGATCCTGAAAGGAGACGATCCATGGCCCCCCCTTTTCAGCTCAAAGAAGGAAATCCTGCCCCTGAAAAGTCGTGGAACATGGTCGTATGTTTTGTCACCAAAAGGGATTGCCAAACAAACACCTCGGCTGTGGGACAAACACCCAGGCGCTGCTGGCAGGTCGCATGGATCAAACCAATTTCAGTTTCAGGTTGGTTCAATCTGTCTTTAAAACAAAGTTCATCATTGATACATAAAAGGGTCGGTATAGATAATAAACAGAGCCAGGTATATATAGTATATAGGGTGTCTTGTTCATCCCACAGTGTCCTACAGAGGCGGGGAGCAAAATCAAATTACATGTTTCTGACCGTCTCTCAAGTGGCCGACCACCCAGCTGGACTGGTCACTGCCAGGGCACGAAGTCCATGTTTGCACCACTACTGACCGCCACCAGAGTCCGCCCCTGACGTTCACTCAGCGGCTTGATTCGGCGGTAGATGTGAAGGGACGTCAGGGGATGTCAAGAGGTCAAAGATTTGTTTTGGGAGACTGCAAACAGCTTATAGTAGCTGTAAGATCTGTAGTATACCTAGTATATAACTAGAGTATATTGTATATAACTAGTATACATCGAGTGAGTCTTGTGATCTTGAGAGCAACAAGTCGCCTGGAGTCGCGACCGTCCGGGCCCGGGGTGGTCCTGTCGTCCTCGGCTTCGGCCCGCCTGCACCAGGTCCTGCCGTTCCATGGCATAGCGCTTCAGCCCCGCCGTGGCCAAGGCGCCGGCGGGCTCCAGGACCACACCTGCGGACGCCGAAGGTTCGGGAGCCAAGGGGGGGTTCGGGGCCCACCTAAGACTCGAAGCATGACACAAATCAAAAAGGATGGGTATTGGAAGGTTTGAAGGTTTGAAGCTTGGTTGGAATGTTGTTGATTCCGTGTGCGCTTGATTGTAGCTGTCTGTTGTTTCGTTCTGCTGGTCTGCCAAAGCAAAGGAGAACAACCACCATTGAGGGAAAGCAAAAAGCGTCGCAGTGACGGTTCCTCGGAGTCTTTTCCAAGGGCTGCGGGGTGGAGCCCGGATCTAGACACTTCCATGATAAGGAATTCAAGCTAAAACAAACAATCCAGGGTAAATGTATATGTCAATGTTATCTATGCTATAGAGTGACAGGGAATGAAACAACCCTTTTCTCTTGGATGCTCCAGTGCGTTTGTCTTATGGTCACGCCAAGGCAAATGTGACTTAGGCCCTAGGCATTCTTCTACATTATTCTACTCTACTAAGAAACAGAAAGAATGAAAAGACCATAAATAAAAGAATATACTGTAAAAGACGTATAAACGTACAGAGAATAGAGTAAATCAGTGGAATGAAGTGTGGGGGTTGTCCTCAAGTCCCCTCGTTGGCCCAATGGCAGGCTGTTTAGCGACGTGTTTTGTCGCAACGTCGACTCTCGACCAAGAAAAACTTTGACTCTCGACCGTTGGAGAACCGAGGTGCGAGTATCTTTGAAGGAATCCTTGATGGCAGCGCAAATCTCGTCCTGATGGAGCTCGCCAAGAACCATGCGCCAACCGTACGCGCCAAACCGTGCGCGCGCTCTCGCACCTCCGTGCGTGTGGCGGTTTTCCAGACCGCGGGCGGTGGCGGTGGCGACCCCACCAAGACGGGCGTGAAAGACCGGTGAAAGACCCTCGATTCTGCCCTTCAAGGTCGAAGATCCACGGCCGAACAGAGTTCCCGTCGTCGAACACATCGACCACATCGATCGCGGTGAACCCAATCACCTTTGCTTCGAAACCACCAACCACCACGCGTGCGCACGTGCTGTCCGATTTCAGCTGCCCGTGGCGGTGGACACAGTGACTCTCTCCGAGTGTCGGTGGAGACGGTGATCATCTCGTCGGCGAAGGCCGTGCAAAGACGGAAGGTCTCGTCCCCCACTTTGGCCACCTCGGGCCGAGGAAAAGGACCATAGTGAAAGGACCATGGTTTTTGGATGAAAAGGAAAATGAATTCAAAAGACCCTGAAGTGGGCGACCTATGTCTTCAAAAGACCCTTCGGAGTGTCAGACTCTTGAAAGTTGTTTGAGCTGCTGGGCTAAAGCCTTTGAAAGGATTTACAAAACATCACTGTGCCATCCTCATCGGCCGACGGTCTAAGGTCTGCGTATGTGGACTGCCCATGCCTCAATGGAAAATGGAGAGGTCCGAAAACGGCCAGCGGATGAAAGGGGCTTTTGGAGCCTTAGCCTTCTCTCCCAAAAATGTGCACAAAAGGATTTGACTGGGCCCCATCTGGGGCCAACAGTGTGAACAACCCAACTCATTCGATCTGCCAAAAGAGTGCTGATGGAACAGATCTTGAACCACCTTCTCGAAGTCTCGAGAAGGTGCTTCACTGAGCTTCACTGGGCATTTGTTCGGAGTCTTCGCTCTTCCAATCATTTTGCCCAGGGGCCGCTGCTCCATCCGCGAATTGACCCACCTCGGGTTTCCCGGAAACGACGCGGCGACGCGTGCGCGGGCGCGGGACCAATTGGGCTCAGTGGAGTGTCCGCTTCAGTGCCCGCAAGTCCGATGGCATTGCCTTCTTGGCGAGACCATGAACAAAAGGTACTCAGGTACTCCTTGTTTATCCTGATTGTAGTCCCGAAAAGGTGAATAAGGTGGATCAAAGGTACAAAATACGCCACGAGTGGCAGTTTTTGGCTGCTTCTACTGGGCATGCTTGACCACAGTTGTCTCAACTGCAAAGGTACCTACATTGTGCTATTAAACTCAGCAAACCAACCCCAACCAGCTGTTCAGGATGACAAGAGGGCTCTACCGACCCATGAACAGAGACTAAACTACACGAGACCACCGCAACTCATGGCAAATCTCATATCAGAAAGCAAGGAGAAGTTTCTCAGATTAGAGAGTCAGCAAAGAATGATCAGCAAAGCAAGCATCCTTGCTCGTTGGAATTGTCTTCATTCTTTCATCCCGAAAAAGATGAGTCCGTCACTCAATCTTCGAGTCCGTCACTCAATCACGCCAAAGCGCTGATGCCATCTCAACAATCCTTAGATCAGAGGACTGACGGATGCCGTCCCCTAAGCGGCCAGAGTCGGGCGGACAGTCCCACCAGGTTTTCACACCCGCAGAGACTGCTAATTCTAATTACTAATACTTGTTTCTACTAGCTTCTTGTTACTAGGTAGCGATGCCAGGAGCCTCTTGTAGCGTCCTTGCTCGCCTTAAAAAAGGCCTAAAAGTACATGTACAGTCCCTGCTTTTCAGCACTTGGCCCAAAAGTTCAGAGAAGTGGACCCCCTTTTTGCTGACAGAAACGATGCTTTGCAAATGGGACACTAAACTGTGACACTAAACCACTGGGACACTAAACTGGTCGTAAATGTATGTATACACATATACACCCTCACCACCTCAGTCTCTCCCAGTCTCACCAGCTCAGTAGTCATCGGAGGCTCTGCTTGGCCTTCAAACTCTCAGTCATCGCAGCAGAGTCAATTGCCTCTACACCGATGACCTGGTCTCACGCGTCGTCTGTGTCGTGTGTGTCGTGTTGCTGGGAGGGTTGAAGCACCGTGTGGCTCGTGGCAAGCACGCATTGTTTTTCGAAGAATCCACGGAGCTGCTGTTGTTCACAAGGTGAAGGACAACCATTCCCCCGAATGACTTAACATACGGCCGCGGTCCTGCAAAAGGAACCTATAGCCTATAGACTAATTATAGAAGAGCTGAAGGTCTTTAAAGAAGGCAGCATGATGCAGATGTCTTTTTGTTTGTTAGCCAGTGACCCACCCACCAAACTGTCTCTTCGTTTGAGGGTCCGGAATGCCTCCTTTCCCACCCCGCACCTTGATGGAAGGCTTCACCGCCTTCAAGAAGGCACCCACACCCGCCAACAAGCCACCACCGCCGACGCAGCAAAAGACCGCTTCCACGTCCTCCTGAAGAGCGACGGAAAAAACCCGCGGGTCGGCGCGGGCATGCGTCGTGCGGTGTTGCGTTTGTGAGATCGTTTTTGACCTCGTTTTTGACATCGATTCTTGGTGGTTTTTGCGCTATCAAAGATGAAAAGACTGAATATGAGCTCGGCGAGTTGGTTGCATACCTTCTATCGTGGCTTCAGGGGGCGCTTCAGGGAGCGGATGTGAGCTAGTGGCAGCGCAGCTTCAGACATCAAGTCGCCTGTGTGCGGCTGTACGCCAGTACTTCCAGAATGCCTCTAGCAACTGCACAGAAGTTGGGTCTATCCTATTACCAAAGCCCAGTGGATGATGATGGTTCAGTTGCAGGCCTTCCTCTAAAATAGTGATAATCATTTACTGACAGTTACAGGTAAGAACGGACAGACCCAACACATAAGCATGATTGAGAATGTTGTCAATCTGAAGACTCGGATCAAGGTCTGCATGGATCTGCCTTCGTAGTCTGCTCCAGGATCTCCTGGTAGCACAAACGACGTTTTTCAAGTGAAACAGGTGGTCTGACCGTCTGGCCGCACTTCCAATCAAGCAAATACTGCTTCAGACACGGAGGGGAACCAGTGAGGTGAATCATGGAGTGGACACGGATGGTTTCCGCCCAAAAAAAGAACGAGGCCCAAAACACCTTCCATCCTCTTTCGCCTTTCGGTTCCTTGGTCTATTTTTTAAACGTGAAGAACGCAGTCCCGAATATCGATGGAGAGGAGCAGGCGAGGCGCCAAAAGAGGTTCCAAGGTCTGAAACAGCGACGTTCCGATTCTCCCAAGTTTCAACACACTCCGCCTGCACCTGATGCTTTTGGATGAACAAAATCCATCTCACGGACGAATCCGGCTGCTAAATGATCGAAATGAAATACTTCCCCTGGCGGAGTCGCTGGTGTTCTGTTTTTCCGCGCCTTCCCGATGGTGCCCTGGCCTGCAATGACCAGTGGATCGTTGAACCTTGGCACTTACCCAATCGGCTCATTATGTGGCACGTTCTTTCATTCCCGTCGAGAACGTGGGGTGGACAGGAACCGGAACACCTGTGGACAGCGTGCACAGAGGGTTCCTGAAAACAACCACCAGTCCCAAAGCGGGACTGACATTTCCTGCGTTCTTCGCTGGGTTTTGACCGTAGGATTGGCTCAAAAGGTGGCTTCATGGCCGATCTCCATAACCCGATTTGGCGACCGATGTCAGAATACAAAGTGGGACGGAGTTTCTTTTGTTGGAGCAAACGGGCGTCCTCCACGACAAAAGAAGACACAGGCAGGTAGGTTAAAAGAAAACATACTCATGCGTTGCGATCCAATCTACTTTTGAGGTGTCAACCCAGCGAGGCGGTTCTCCAAAATGACCAGCTGTAGAATTGTTTGGGTGATATAACATAATGATATATCTAGGCACCTGATCCCAACGAGATGGCTTGTACATGTTCGTACTGCAAATGTGAGGTTAGGAGACGCTAATGATTTCTCAAAAGGTACCCTGAACTTCTACCACGTTCCCTGCGGTCCCTGCTTTCTCCAAGCCCCAAACACGGGAAACCAGTTTGTTGATGGTTTGAACCTCTGTTAGGTTTCTACTAGTAAGTGATGGGCAAGCCCTCCCTTTGGTTTGCCCTCAATAGCCTATGCTGTCGCTTTCTATACCATGAACCGAAAATGGCAACGTAACAAGAGAATGTTCTACATTCTACATTATTTGTCCATCCGCAAGATGTGTTCCCCATTCTCAACCACCGAAGCATCTTGACTATCCCAGATCACTGTCCCAGAGACGGATGGACCAGGACCCTCCCCTCTGCTTTCATGCACTCCTCAGTTCCGCGACGAGTCGCGTGACCACTTCACTAAGAATCTTCACTAGCTTATTGACGCGACCGATGCGAGTCCTTTCCCAGATGTTTACGTGCCACTAACACCTACAGGTCCACAAGCACAAGTTCCAATATGTGCCAAGGACCACAAGTACAAGACCTTTGAAAAGGCCAGGTTTGTTGCAGGCACTATAAGAGCAAGGAGATGGCTGTGGGTCAAAACCTCACTCACCAAACTATGCAAGGTTGACATCCCTTATATATAGAGGAATCTGTTCATTTGACCAGGGGTCAAGCAGGGGCTCCGGGCTTTTGGTTCCCGGATTGGTGTTTTTGGTTCCCGCGGTGTTTTTTCTTCCCGCGTTGGTGTTTTCGGTTCCCGCGGTGTTTTTGGTTCCCAGGTGGGTTTTTGGTTCCCGCGCGGCGGTGTTTTCGGTGCCCGGCTCGGTTTTTTCAGTGCCCGCGGGTGTTTTCAGTTCCTGTGATGGTGTTTTCGGTACCCGCCTTGCGTTGAAGAGAGAAAAATGCACGGATGTTTTCGGTTCCCGCGTCCGGTGTTTTCGGTTCCCGCGTTCGGTGCGTTTAGGTCTCCGGTGTTTGTGGTTTTCGCGTCCGGTGTTTTCGGTTCCCGTGTCGGGTGTGCTGTGATCCCGTGTGAAATGGTGGGAGTCTTGTGTTGTCGCGGGACAACGCGAAAGAATTGTTGTAAAGACACGAACAAAATCCCCGTCTACATTAGGGGGGAGGGGTTGACAACCGCAGTTTTGTAAGGGACCTAGGGTTACAGTCTACAAAAAGCCCTGACCCAAGGGCATTGGGCTTATACAAAATGGCATGGGCCAGAGTGGGCTTGTACAAAAAGGTTATGCCTGAAGATCACTATCTTATGCTGAAAAGTGCATAAAACAGCCATTCAGCAAAGTGATTTCTCTACAAAATGGTATCAAATACCTGGTCGAGGACATGATTCAAGACTCCATTTGTTGACCATTCCGGAACCATTCTGTAGAGAAACTGTGTGCGCACGCATCTGACTGTTCTTTTTTTAATCCAAACTTGAGCGGCGATTGTACTGTGCAATGGCATATGTTGAACATCGGACTCTAATAGACGATGTCAGAAACTATATGATTTTTTGTTTTTGTTTAATGAACTTGCGGTGCTAACGGAAAGTATATTAAACAGTGCTTACATCTAAAAATCTTGCTTACAGTACAAAATGGGGATGACCCTGAACTATCTCTACAAAATGTGAACCTCAGGTATTTGGAGACTAATTCACATTATCCATTCTAAACTTGACCTTTGCTGTCCTGTGAAATAGTGTGAAATGCATTCAAATGCCAATATGATTCTTTGTTCATGCCGACTTTGTGTGACATGCCAATATGATTCTCTGTTCATGCCCACTTTGTAAAGACAAACATTGGTGACAGTCATTGTGTAAACAAATCTTTGGTCCATCCTCATTTTATGAATCGTGGCTGAGTTTCTCAATGCTCTTTGGTCAGCGGAAGGAAGAGTTGGCACCACGTGTACTGGGACGAGTCCATTGGATGCAGAGTGGATTTGTTTTATGTACACCGGGTACGCCGCTGAAAAAGTTGTTGGCGCAACTCAGGGGGTAACCGGCATAGCCATAGATGGCTCAACACCACATACTGAACATTAAACATCACGAAAACTAAGGCTGCACCTTGACCAAACCAAGCGTTTTTGTAGATTCTATAGATGGCGCATCCCAAAGCTCTTTTTCCTATCCTAAAAAATGAACGCGGCAAACAAACACAAGGACTGCTCAGGAATCTGGACATTGAAGGATCAGTTTTCACCTCGGAGTATGTATTTGTATCTGACTCAGGCGACTAAAGAATCTGACTCCAAGAAACGAACACTCAAACGTGTACAAAAAGGGTACCCTGACCCCCCTGTTTTTCCTTGATTTTGGCCCTGTACAAAAAGGGTACCCTGACGTCCTCATGTCTCATATAAATGTTCTCTAATTTTTTTTGATCATAACTTGGATGCCGATTTTGACTCTACAAAATGGGAGGGTGTAAGTTTCGGCATCTGCCAAAAAGTGCTTTGTTACAACATGACCCCTTTGTAAGGGCCTCGAGCTACCCCTATCTGTAGAGGAAATGCGTACGGGGATCGAACAAACACGAACCACCAACAGCCACAACCACTACTACCACTACCACCACCACCACCTTCACCACCACCACCACCACCACCACGACCAGCACGAACAACAGCAACAACGACCACAACAACAACAACAACCACCACCACCACCACCACCACCACCACGACGACGACGACGACGACGACGACGACGACGACCAACAACCACGACCAACAACGATCAACAAAGAACATGCGAAAATCGACGACAACAACAACAACGCCACCACCACCAACAACAACTACTACTACAACTACAACGACAACGAGCAGCAGAACCGCCGCAGCAGCACCACCAGCAGCAGCAACAGCAGCAGCCGCATCCAGCAACAGCAACAGCAACAGCAACAGAAGCAACAACAACAACAACAACAACAACCACAACAGAAACAACCGCGACAGCGACAGGAACAGCGGCCGCAAGAACAGCGGGAACAGCAACAGCCGCACAGCAGTAAAGGACTGGCTGCATGGCATGCGATCATTTGATACATTCGCCACACGGTCATGAAGGAGCTGTTGCGCGGGTACCTTGGAAGACGGCCAGGCCACTTCCATACGCCTCTCCTGCCAGTGTGAGAAGCAAAACATCGATTGCAGACTCTGAAGACAAACATGCAATTGAATGGAGTGGAGGAGTCTAGAGCAAGCTTTTGGCGCACGAGCCTCGTCGCGCACCGGCTCATCCTGACAAGGCAGAACGAGCAACGCAGGACAGGCGACAAAGAAGGACAGGTGGCAAAGAAGAACCGCCGCAGCAGCAGCAGCAGCACCACCAGCAGCAGCAACAGCAGCAGCCGCATCCAGCAACAGCAACAGCAACAGCAACAGAAGCAACAGCAACAACAACAACAACAACAGAAACAACCGCGACAGCGACAGGAACAGCGGCCGCAAGAACAGCGGGAACAGCAACGGCCAGCACAGCAGTAAGCACGGACAAGAGCGAAACTACGTGTTGCAGAACCAAACAGTACTGCTGCAGCTGGGGGGCCAAACGACAGCGAAGCGGAGGAATCCAACCTGGTAGGCTCAGATTTAGCAGCGCAAAGCTAAGTAAGCAGAAGCAGCTGCAATTAAGCTACAGGCTGGTGTTTTCACTGTAAGGGCGCAGTGCTGGCGCAAATAGTCTTTGGCGGTCCAGCACCAGTTGGCTTGGTACAAGGTTACATGCCAAATTGTAACGGCATGGTAGGAGCGATACACTACATGATAGATAAGTTTGTACCACCTGCCTCGTCTTCTTCGCTGAGGTTCTCCCAGCGCGTCATGGCCAAAAATGAAGCTCTGTATGCTTTCGTCTATGTGTTCGTACAGTGCGGTGTTCTTTGTCTGTTTAATCGTGTGACACGAGTACGTGCTTTCAAATCCAGCGGTGTAACGGCATGGTAGGAGCGATACACTACATGACAGATAACTTTGTACCACCTGCCTCGTCTTCTTCGCTGAGGGTCTCCCAGCGCTCATGGCCAAAAATGAAGCTCTGTATGCTTTCGTCTATGTGTTCGTACAGTGCGCGGTTATGATGGTGTCACCGGGTACCTTGTGTTTTTGCGGCAGTGGGTTTACGCAAACTGACATGTTTTTACAGCGAATGGCGTTGACGGTTTTGCAGTGTTCTTTGTCTGTTTAATTGTGTGACACGAGTACGTGCTTTCAAATCCAGCGGTGGGCAATGGTAGCCAGAAATTCAAACGAAAGCTGACAAACAAACACGTGAAAGGGCACACAAACACAGGAGCTGGGCAAGGAAAACACCAATCCAGGAACTGAAAACACACAGACCTGGGGGGGGAGATCAGAACTCCGGGAAGGGAAAACACCAAGAGTGGGAACCAAAAAAAAACAATACAGAAGGCGGGAAGGAAAAACACCAATCCAGGAACAGACTTGGGAACCAGAAACACCACGGGAACCGAAAAAAACAATCTGGGAAAAGGAAACACCACGGGAAGGGAAAACACTAATCTGGGAACTGAAAACACCCAACCCGTCAAACAAGCAGGGTGCCCCTGTGCCGTGACCCCCAGCCGGCCAGCTCTCCTGCTCTCCTGCTCTGCCAAGGTTCCATGGTCGCTGCATATGCCGCATCGTAGTTGTCGCCCACGAGGATCACTTCTGACTTGGCGTTGGAGAACCTGACAGCCGAAAAAGAATCAGACCGCTTGGCCAACAGAACCAGCAGAAAAAGGAAAAGCATCTGGATGCAGCTGTGGAATCATCTGGTTTGGGATATCAACTGGATGGTTGGCATTGCGAACACTCCCTTGTCCACACCCTCGACGGACATACGTTTCCACACCTCTGCAGCAGGTTCCAGGATCGATGGAAATGCGTGGCTTGGGGGGGGCACGTGTCCTTATCGTCGACGAGTTCTGGTAACCGGGCACACTGGTCAGTTGATCCAATCGATCTTTGCTACAGAAACAGACATATATTCAACAAGGTGCCACAAGGATAGCATCCAGTGATCCAAACTCTTTTCATAGCATCCTTATCACAAGGTCAAGGTCGGCCAGAAAAAGGAGTACAAAACGATCTGCTTCCAGATGAGTCGATACGAGAGTACTGGAGCGCACCACCAGGCTTTGGCAGTCCTCATTTCTAAGGATTGAAGCTCTCAAAGACTCATAAAGACTCAAATCATCAGAGGGTTTGATGGGTTGCACACCTCACATGTTTGATCTCCAACTGAGGTCCCACGTCCAGAGGCGTGTGCCATGTACACTAAAGTCTTTAAGCATAGCAATCGGAACTTCGACCTTCGAGCATATCACGGATTCAACAGGTCGCCCATCACCCTCATGTATTCCAGTCCGGAGTAGAATGTTGCCATTTTGCCACAAACAAATGAAATGCCAGACACAGAACAAGAACGACCAAATCCCCCAGTCTCGCCCGTTCGATCGCACGACGCGTACTAATCGGACTCTTCCGTCCGTTCGTCGCTGCCTTCGCACGGAGTCCACTTTGATATTGGGCGTGGTCTGCGGCATGAAGATCTTCGCCTCAGCGAAGATGAATGGTGGGATGGAATCATTTTCCTGGACAGGGTTCTTGGAGTTTTCTTGTTCCATCACTTGGTGTCAATTGCTTCTTGAGGCTGGTGGTGCTTGGGACTAAGCTCCAAAAGATGCGCAATTGGATGAAATTGGAAAACGATCTTGCCATAGAAAACAATATACAGTAAATACAATATAAACAAAACAATGGTTTGCTTCAAGTTTCATTGGAGGTCTAAGCAAGTCTTGACTCGCTGACGTGATCTGCAGAGGTCATTGAAGCAATCTGGCCCTGGCCTTTCCATTAGACCAGCAACAGTTAAATAGTTATAAGTTGTATAACATGAAATCTAAAGAAATAGCCTCAAGATGCATCAGAAGGCCTTTGGGGTGAAAGTGGATACACTCCCTCCAACAATTATGGTTGTGTGGATGGCATGGCCCCTGGAAAGACCATTGTCCTCTACAAACCAGGGATTGTCCACTTCCATGTTTGTTGGCTGTCCTGGGTAGCTGACATGTTTGAGGATGTTCCACCCTTGGTCGGTCCTGAACACCAGGAATGCAACTCCTTCTTGATTCTTGCTGCCATGAACAGATGAGACAACACCAGTTTGGATAGTTTGGCTGTACCGTGGCTGTACCACATATGGTCGAGGGGTGCTACTTGAACGCTGGACATCAAAACCCTGCGAATGATCCTGGCAGAAACCTTCTGCATGCCCACAACTCCCCATTGAGACTCATCAGTGCAGAAGAATGAATGCAGCCAGCCAGCAGCTACCAATGAATATCAAATGAATATCGAAATTCTTTTGATGCCTACATATATGCCTACACAGTCCACCCCCGGTGAATTTTCAAGACCCAACCACTGGCAGCCTTGGCACCGAGATATCCAGCGCAGCTGCGGAGTAGGCCACGCCCTGCGCGTGGTTCCCCGCCGAGCAGGCGCAAATGCCCATGGACTTCTCCTCCGGCGTCCTCCGTCAACAAAAAAGAGACAAAAAGATTGAAATTACTCCCCTGAAGATCAACATGGAACCCCAAAAAAAAACACTAGGTTGGTATGAGGAAAATATGATCAGGTTCCACGTGGGTCTCTGAACCCCCCACGAGACCCCTGACCGAGCGACTGAACAGGGGCGTCCTCTGCACCGGGACTGTGGCCGACGAGGTTGGCGGAGTGGCCGGAGGACCAGGGGAAGACGAGATCAGATTGGATAGGACGATAGGACCATCAACGGATCTCGTCCAACTTATCGACCAATTTGCCGGTGTCCCGACTGTCATACTGGGTGTCTTTTTTGGAGATTCTTTGCGAAACACCTGGCACGGGGATGCTCCTTTTGATGCATGGTATCACCGTGAAGATTGGTCCATCTCCTTACTGGGTCACCTGAGAAGCTTGGCTATGAGGGCTCTGAGCCAGGCAATCTTCCCACACGTCCACCCACTTCTTTCGGTATATCCACATATAGCTCCGCGAACCTCTACAAACGGAATCTACAGTGAAACATGTTCCTCGAGGGATCGACCTGAGGGTCGGGGTCCGAACGAACATGGTCATTTTGTTGTGCGAGGATCAAGTTCACGATCTTGTTGTAAGCACCTCTGAGCCTTGGCACCGAACAAGAGGTGTGATGATGTCTTTTGAGATTCTTTGAGAGGTAAGCATGCAACAGCAAAGGATGCTGCACAACAAAAAATGCAGCTGGGCGTCAAGATCATGCTTAGTATGAGAAACAAGCGACATTGCTTTATGACGACTTCGACTGGAGTTTGGATCGTGTCCAATACCTCACAGCAGCGTGCTCTATGAGGGGTGGATTGCGGCGTTTTCGCCTGCACGTGTCGCAGGCATCACTTGGCCCAAGCAGCTTGAAGCTAAAGACACTTTGTTGATCTTCACCTTGGATGCTGGAGAGGGATTGACTTGAACAGTTCACTGAGTGTCCAGTCCGTTATCAGCAGCAGGTAGAACCCCCCTGCACACAGTTATGGACCTATGGACGAGAAATCCAAGCCGAAGATGAAAAACCGGATTCAAGCAGGCTACGGTTAAAGCCTTTCGGTTTTGAAGCAAGAAGGTGTTGGGACTGGGGTTGTTAGGAGAAAGTCCTGTTTCAATTGTTATGTTCATGTTTATTCCATCGCCCAATAGCTTGTGCAGTGTCTTGATACTCTGTCACCTACGATAGTGTCGTCTGCCGACTTCTATTTGAGGACGGCAAATCCATCCCGATGAGTAGAGAACAGGTTGTCATGGTGAATCTAAGCAACATCGAAAAGTTCTCCACGCTTCATTCATCTTACAGTACAGTAAGTCTTTTCTGCATGCATCCACAGTTTGTTCGGTTCCAACTCCCATACATCTGTGTGAAGTCAAGCTTGATAAGACCCACAAACTGACCTAGTTTTCCGGAAGATCTCCACAAATCCCCCTTGACCAAAGAACGGGGGACGACGGAGCAGTCCCGCTCCGTGGATCTCCGAGGGGCGTTTCAGAAAGACTCGGCTGCCCGTGCTCTTCGAAAGCCCGGGAGCAAAGTGTAGGTCCGTCCGCTTGCAGACATCGTAGACCTACCGGGTAGGCCCCGGTAGGTAGGGCATGGTAGGGCGACGTCGCAGTTGGGTGGCACACGAAGAAGTGGTCTTTCATTTGGAGGTCAAGGAAATTCGTCCACTTACCGGTGGCCACCCTTTTTTCAATGGAAGGCAACTTTGAAAGACATTGGCTGCTGTTGACCTCGAGCTTCGATTAGAATTCTGTTGAAATGGTGACATTCATTGGTTTGCTACGTCGCTTCAATAAACTGACTGAGGTCAAAATGATACGAGGTGTCAACTGCCTGTGACTTATGTATGGGCATGCACAGATCACCCACATTCTAAGGATGTGCAACTTAGTCTCTGTCACCGAAAGCTGGCCTTGGCATTGAGAATCATGTTCAGATAGGCCGTGTGCTCGATCACCTCGCTAAAGCGCCGCAGCTGCAGGACACGGCCCGCGCTGCGCACGCTGCGGAATTGCCATGGCCGGGGCGCCGCAAATGGCACGAGCATGGTCGCAAGGAGTTCGAAGGGCAAAATGGCCCACAGCCCCACTCGTGTACAGAGAATGCATTGGGCCATACTGTCATCAGTGGGCACAAAAAAGAAGCAAGATGGTGATCTCGATGGTCTCGTCTTGAGCGAGTGCGTTTCTTCGTGAAAACTTTTTCGGCAGAGCCCTGAGGCACTCTCTTCAGGCCACATCTTGGGTGGGACGATCCGCTGAGACGCATTGTGGGTCAAGTACAGAGAAGACCTGCGTTCAAACCAAGGTGATTGAGATGCAAGTTCGCTTCAGGTCGAGTTGATGGCTGAAGAACATCTTTCAGCATTTCACAAATGTCTTCAGTATTCCGACCTCCAGTCGGTGTCAGCCAGTACGGCTAGGGCCATGTGCTGCGCCAGTTTGTCGTGCTAGTACCAGCTGGGATGTTAGTGGAAGCATCAACTCCTTTTGACTGAATTCAGTGAGAAGCAGAGCTTTGCGGCTTCGCCCTTTTCGGTTTCGCGGTGCTTCCTCCCACTCATCCCGAGCTCCATTCGTCCCTTCGGGTCCTCTTGTCGAAAAGGCCTTGGCGGGGTTTTCACTGTGGCTGGATCAATGGATAGGATCATAGGGCAATGGGTTTGAGGGCTGAGAGTTGCTCAGAGGCCTCAGGGTATGACATTATGATGAGTTCCAAACATGAGATCTACTGTATTTCGAACTTTCAACACTGCAGGTGCACCGTACAACGTTGGACGGCTTCACTCGCAAGAAAGGGCATTCACAGTATTCACGTGTCTTTCGCTAACTTGGTCCACATTTCTACTTGTAGTCTTCGAGGTCAAGGATATAAAAGGATTGGTCATTCATTACGATGCTGTGTAGAGAGTGTGTTCTCCACCAGTCTCCAATTCTCACCAACTCTCACTGACCTGAAAGAACCCGCGCTCCCTGGGTTTTGCATTCATTGGACATCAGACTTCATCCGACCTCCTACCGTCGGAGTCCTTCCGATTTTCCGCACAATCCCACCGGCCGATCGATCACGATGCGACCGTCATCTCCGGGGCGACCAATCAGACCATCACCATCCACATCCGATCGCCACTTCCAGCCTAGATGCTGAACCGGCACCTCCACCTGCCAGCACTGTTCAAGGTGAAAATGTTCAGACGCGAAAACCGATGAGCAAACGATTCGGAGGTTATATACTCAAACCCATTTGGGATCATTTCGGTCTCTGGAACTCTGGAAGTTCAAGATCCCCACGCTTCAGCAAACGCGAACCCATTCGTGAGTGTCCTTTCTCTATGAAAAGCCGACGACTGGAGCCAAGGCTTCCGTGTCCCGACCGAGGTGGAGGTGGATGCCTTCAGTGGAGCCGAAGACCAAAGAGTCCAGTGGTCCCAGTGGTCTCAGTGATCAAAAGATCCTGGCCCAAGTCCTACACCTCCCCACTGAGTTGATCCTACCCAAGGTCGTGATGAACAGCGCGCAGAAAAATCGGTGCAGTTCGAAAAGTTGCTCAGCACATCTTTTTGACCATTGACCATCATAAGACTACAGCGTTGCCAAGCTTCAACTCTGTGAAGCCAGCAAGTGTTTTTCCAGCTCATCCTGGAGGGAGCCATGAAGCAATTGCACTGATGACAAAAGTTCCATCATGTGCTGCCATGCATCATCGCATTTCCCTCGAACTGCCTCCGTCGCTTGCTCTGAGGAAAAGCGAATCTCATAGTTCTTTGCAGAAGACTGCTCCTTGGGTTTGCTCAAATCTGTGACCTCGGCGATCTTGGACACATTCACCTCGAGATTTTCCTGTGGATCCATCCAAACACACTCGTCACGACATGTCACACACTGCAACCGCCAGCCAGATGGCAAAGGGCTGCTAGCAAAGGCTTCAATGAGCTTTGCTTTATCCTGCCAGATCTCACGGCATTGCACATCCAAGGCTTTCAAGGCATTGATCAGCGGCTCTTCTAGCCGTTTGACCTCTGGACTGGACGTCACAGACATCCGAAAGTCCGGAGCATGGCCAAGCCGACAAACATCCCCTCGGAAGAGCCTCTCAGTGGCCGTCTTCGCACTGAATGTTTGCAGGCCTCAAAAACAGTCATGCGACATGCGCAAGGGCTCGGGCACAAACAGGGAGTGAACTCCTCTGCTCTACCACATCCAAAAAAGAAATGAAGCATCACACCAATTACAACCAATCACTGAGTTTGGGACCATGGCCAGCTTCAAACAGCATCTGCGCAAGAAGGCTGGAATGAGATAAGAGTCTATCTTCAAAATCTTCAAAATCTCGACATAAATGTTGTTAACAGGATAAGCCCACAAACAGCCTCTTGACGCACACAAAACCATACAAAACGTCCCTCGTTGGGGCCATTTAGCCAAGAAACCTGGAGAACCTCGAGCTCTAAAACCGGAGTGAAATACACAGTCCCCTGGCTAAAACGCTAAGTCATCCCAAATCTCCCAGATCCTTCAGATTTCTTCAGAAAGCCTTTGTTTCTTACTTTCTTGCAGCCTTTTCAAAAGCATTGCAAAAAGTTAGTTACCCACCGATCTCAATTGGTGTAGGATGTCTTCCCTCAAAAGACTCGCTGTTGAGGTCTTTCTTCAGTGCAAAAGAGTCAACTGGTACGGCCTTCGAGTACGGTGGACGAACAGCCAGGGCTTCCTCTATGGACATCAGCATCGACGGAGGTCCTCAGTAGAGGAACAAAGTCTCCCAAGTCTTGAAAAATTGGTTAAAGACCGGGACTAACTCATCGGATGGAAGACTGGGACGATTCTTCCCAAGAATGGGAAAGACAAAAATGTGTCATCCACTGACCAATGAAAAAGAAATGCCGCCCTGCTCAAAATGATTGCTTCAGCGCCAAATGGATGAACATATCTACTTCCAATGAAGGGAAACAGCCCTTTTGCAAGACCAGGGGGTTCGCCTCCGTCCAAACCCCTACTTGCAAAACATCCAGGACACGGAAGTCCATCTTCGTCTGCATACCTTCTGCCGACTCCTTGATGATGTCCATCACGCACCAACACCCGCTGAACTCATTGTGCGAAGGATGCAGCAAATGTTCCAAGCTCCTTCTTGCAAGGCCAACACCTTGGACTTGCCAACAAACAGAAGTATGAGAGCGATTCACTTTCCGGACAAGCCAGTCAGCCAGTCACGGCTCCCTCAGGAATGATCCTGATTCTGGGGCCATCCTGTTGGATCTGGAACCCGGTCCTCAAATTTCCATGGTCGATGCGGGGCCCTTCAAGTAGTTCTGTATCTCTGCCCGGGAATGCAAAATACGAAACAACTCAAGGAACTCCAATGTTCCAAAGAAATGACATCTCTTCAGCAAAAATATAATCTTCCTCCAGGTCACGTTCAGGTGCAGGACTTGCCATCTCTGTGAGACGCAAAACCTCAGCATGGGACGTACACCTCCAGATGCGTCGCATCTCTTCTGCCCGTGCCGTGGTGCTCAAAGGATCGAAGAAGGTCACCTGGCCGGTTCATCGTGGGTGGCGGACGAGTTGGTTCAGCCCCTGTGGGCTAAGCCACGGGTGGGTAACGAGAAGACTTTCAGTGGGGAAACAATTACCTATATTTATATGCATATGTATACCAAGCCTTAAGCTTCAGTGCCTTGTAAAAATAGGGTTCCAAATGTCCCTTTGCATGTTGGGGAAAGGCTTGGGATTTCTTGAGTCGTCCTGAACATGGGAGCCTTTTTCGGCGAGCCATTCTTCCTTCTCAAGGTGCAATCCTGTTCTGTCCACATTTTTGCTTACTCAACACAGATCAACATCACTCTCTCAACAAAACACAGAATAACAGGACAGCAGGCGAGTTGGACTGTGTCACTTGTGAGAGGCACCTCCCGCTTCTCCCCGTCATTCTCCGGCTTGACGTAGATGGTGATATTCAACAAACGTTGACAAAGCACAAAGCTACACTGCTTCAAGACAACGTCCAGGGCTGTCTGCACCTCTTCTTTCAACCGAGCAGCAAACTGTGATTTGCACTCCTTGTAACTCAGTTGGTCAATGCCACCCGGCTGTGAAAATAATGGACGGTCGGAGTCGGGACCCCAAAAGAAAAGCTGGCCCAAGCGAACAGAAACCCTGGCATCCGAGAGCTTCACATCTGGTGTCTCCGTCAAAAACCTTTGGAAAGCTGGATGGAAGGACATCCAATCAAAAAGTTCAGAGCAATACTTGTACTTCCCGTTGAAAAGCACATGATGTTGCTGAGACGCATCAGAGATCTTCTCCAAGACGAAAAGGTTCCCGCTGAAAGGGTATGTCTGCCGAAATTGGATGGGGCAAACATAGAAGGCCTCCAAAGCCGCCACCGGCACCAATTTGGCACACAGAGCATGTGCTACGCCGATCAGAACGTTATGCCTTTGTGGAGCTTTGTGCGATGCACCAGCTCGATTTACTAACATTTGCACCTTTCGCTTTGCTGTATCTACTTCCTCCGCACTGCCGCGGATCACCACCACCATTTGATGTGAGCGCTGCCCTACGAAGGTTTCTTCCCATTCCGTCTTTTGGTCCGAAATCGAGAGACGAGGATGCTCGGACTTTAAGGCCTTTAACTGGCTGCCTTTCTGCCCAACGACTGTGCCAATAGCATATCCAGGCACCATCACTCTCTCCTCACTGATCTCACTGACTGGCATCCATTGAAGTCTATTTCGATGTGTCCCTTTGCCGGCACCATTCTCCTGACCTTTTCCCTTTGCTTTCCCACCTTTCTGTCGGGAAGCCTTCCCCTTCCCAACCGGGGCACCCGAACTGTGAGTCTGGAGGGTCTCAAGAGTTCGAGGGCCACTGGCGGTTAACAACTCCTCTGAACGCAAGGGGGTTTCGCAAAATGGACAAAAGCTGCAGCAGGACGTACAAAGGTAGAGCCTCCCCCGGAACTGCTGGCACCCCGGACTGGAGCACATCAACTTGTATTTCCCCTGGCGCTCTTTGCATTCGAAGCACCATGTCACCTCTAGCGAAGTGCTGGAGGTCATCTTCCATGGCACGGAGACTCACTTGGCCGCAGGGATCTTTTGTAGATGCCTTGGTCTATTCCAGTTGCTTTTTGGAATACAAGGTTACAAATGGCAACCTTCCTTGTGGCTCTTGAAATGCTACAAAATCTATCCACTTCAGGAAGGGCTAGTTGAGTGAAATCACGAAGAATCACAGATTGAAAGTGAGGAGCACTGCATGGTCACAGCATCCCATTTCCAGTCCATGGTGGAAAAAACAAATAGACGTTATATTGGATGACAAATATCTTTCCTCAACCCTGGAGTTTGTTGGTAGTTTTCGTGAACTTCATCTGATCGCAAGCCTCTAAAACCCAGCCAAAAACATCAAGGCTCCACAAGCATGCATGCCCAAGGGGAAGTGAACCAAGCTTGCCCGAAGACAGAAGCTGAATGAGATTTGAAGAAAGCTGGATTTCACGCTTCGCAAGCGCAGTTCCTTCATAAGCGCAGTCATTTGAATACCCGATGGTCTATGGTGTGGACCAGAAAGGCTGACAAGAAGTTCTCAATGTAGCCAAAATGAAAAATGACAGCTTGAGGCGCTTGCACATCGTCCACATCGTCAAGCCATCCAACAGCAACTTAGCTTCTTCCATTCAGCTCATCCAGAATATACAGGGGAAAGGAAGGAGATTGGGGATGGCCAATCGATGGCGTGGCTAAAGAATACCAGGAACACCAAATTGAATCCAATTGATTCAACTGATTCTGTTGACGGTCTATTGAGCCAAAGCAGGGTGAAAAATCCCTCAAAGCTCGCTTCGAAACAGAAGAACCGCATCGAACCATGCGTCCCACATGCATCCCACATGCGTGCAGCCCGAATGCGGCCCTTTTGGGACATCGAAACCCTAGAGCTTTGCGTACTGAAAGGACGCTTAGATGACAAGAAACGATTCCTTGGCCAGGCAGGCAAGGCTCATTCCTTGTCTTGAGACACATCCAAATCTTCGCCCTTTTGCTGACCCTGCTCCATTCAAAGCACTAACTGTACTTACTGTATGCATTCTGGGAATTTTGAGTGTGCCTATGGACCCTAGGACACGACACACATTGCTGCCTCTGGTTCATGTCTTTGCTTCCGCAAACGGAGCATGCCAACAACCTGTCATCCGGGATCCGCATAGCCTTCGTGGGTCGAGTCAACTATCTCACTGAGGCCAACTTCCTCTGCTTCGTCAGAAAGCAAGTCCATGCAACAAATGTTTTTTTTTGCATAGTTGGTGTTGCTAGGAGGAATGACTTCTTGGTGAAAGCATATGCAATGTGATTGATGCTCACTAGGATGAAGGCCTCCCCAGATGCTTGATAGTCGGACATGCCCACGAGCTCTGCGTGCCAGCAAATTCCGTGCTTTCGTGCTATTGTTCGATCTCTGCTTGTTAAGGATGCAATCATTCAAAACACAAGACGGAGTCCCACTACGAGTAATCACTCAAGCTGCCCAATGATTCACTATCACCATCAAGCCGCTACATCGCCCTGAACATTGCCAGAGATGCTCCGAACACCGGGTCTCAACCCAAGGATCCACCGTTCACACGAGGCCCGCACTAACGTTGCACTGGATGACTCTGCCCTCATCTAGCAGTTTCACTCACGTAATCCTGACACGTCTGCTTTCCTCTACGAACTACTCTCCTATCGGTTCAACCTGCTTCGCTCCGCAAATGGATCCGAAAATCCTCTCAGTCCAGCAACCGTGGCCGCGCAGTACGGCGCAAGGCCCAGGGGGCAACGGCGCTGCCTTGCCGAAACGTTCGTGGGACGGCCGGACCAACCGGGTGTGGTTTGGGGCATGAAAAGCTCATCCCGGCGTCAAACGACTCACCAATGAGGTCTTCACTGGAGTTCTCTATCCAAAAGTGCCAGCTTTACCTGTGTTATTTTTCGTTTAAAAAAAAAAAATATATATATATATATATATATATAGAAGGTCCAAAAGTGGGAAGCTGTAGTCTTTGATCCCTCGCCGAAAGCCATGTGGCTTGCATACGGCTTGACAAAAAAGCAATGTGGCACTTGGCCAGTACGCCTGTCTTGGATTGTTGGTGCATGCAATTGCGGCTTGAGGCCATTTGGATTTCTGGCATAGCATATTTTGACGAGCTGGTCTCCGCTTCGCTGCTCCTACGGATTCCTGTACGGGCTCGGGCTTTGACAGAAAGGCGTAGGGCTGTCATGACCCTTTTTGTCTTTGCAGCACTGCTTGCGAATGTGGTTCTGATGGAACACGGAGAAAGAAATTGACCATTGTTGAGAATGAACTTGCCTGGCAGGGGTGATTTGTGTGCTGGGGTGGCCCATGGACACCTGAGCCATCCAATGACCAGTTCAAAAGGTGTTGCCACATCCTGCCTTCGCTTCAGCCGGAGGTTTTTTCACATCGCAGGTCCGTGGAGCTGCAGAAACGACCCGTGGAGCTCTCGCCCAACAGCCATCCCATCCGCTCCAGTCTGTGCGGCGCGATTCGTCGAAGAGAATTGTTTGCTTCGGATGGTCTCCTCTTAGAGTTCAATCGTCCTGTCACTGCAGGCGGCAGACAGCACCATGAGGGTGCTCTGGATGGAGATCCCCTCCTGCAACAGCGTCCCTCCTGTGTTGCCTCGGTGGCCACACTTACGTTGAAGCGTTACTGGAGTCCAGTGTCAGGAGTAGACACGAGTTGTTGGAACTAACCATCCACAGATTGTAGTTCAACGTCTCTGTTCTGTAGTGGTCGCCAGGGTGGCACATTGGGTGCATTCACATAATTTTCTTACCAAGCACTGCACCACTCCATGTCTCCATCCCAAAGTCTCGCCCATTCAAAGCACCACCTTCAAATCGCCGCAGGCTCTGCGTTGGAGGAGGCGCTGGGGCTGCCTGTCGGAAGTCGTGCAGGTGCAAGGGGCAGTTGGATGATTTGGATGCTCAGGATGCTAAACAAGGATTCTAGTGACCTGAAGAAATCTCCAACCTCTGATCCACCTCCCCTCTGATCAAAGAATGAGATGTGAACATGTAACATGAGATCCACTGGCAGCAATATCACCACCACAGCAGCAAGAACCAGAACAACCAGAGGAGAGGAGAGGGTTGAGCGGACATCTATCCACCCTGCAAGAGTTGCAGGACCCGACCCCTCTGTCCTTCTGTTGCTGTTACCCCTCGCTTTAAGAAATAGAGTTCTTTTGGTGCTTGCGGAAGAGCCCCAATCTGGTGCTACTTATTCGTCACAAAGAAAGGACATTTCAAGTGTGGAAGTCCTTCTCAAAGCTCGAGATACTCAACCCCTTCAGAGGTCGTGGACCATGAGAGGTCGCCAAGTCAGCTGCGCCCAAGAAGAATCCCTCATCTACCACCCTAACAGCAAGCAACCAAAACCGCGACACTCAAAGCTCAAAACCATCCTCCCCAAGAAAATAGTGGCACACTTGGATCCACATCCACTGGGCCCATTCTTTTTGACTGGTCACTGGTCCCCCCGTTCCACTCGCACATGGTGTCAGCGCCTTGGTGTCAGCCTGGCGTCCGTCGAGCATCGGAGAAGTCAACGGATGGAGCATCGGTGGGTCAACATTGGCATGGATACTTTGCAGGAGCAAAGTGCATCGCTACTAGAAACAAAGGGCATCGCTACTAGGAGCAAGGGCCTTACTACTAGGAACAAGAAGCTAGTAGAAACAATAAGTAAATAGAAACAATAAGCTACTAGGAACAAGTGCATCGCTTCTAGTAACAAGTGCCTTACTAGTAGTAACAAGAAGCTAGTAGAAACAATAAGAAGCTATAGACTTTACCGAAATGGACCCACAAATGCTACCCCCCAACAAGACCGAAATGGATCGAAATGGGTGATGTTTGAAGGCCAACTGGAACTAGAAGCAAGGTCTTCCGACCATTGTTCAACACCTTCGAAAGCAGATGTTCAAAAATCAGAGCCGCTGTACAGCATCTGTAAAATGTGTTTTTAGGTCACCTCACATTGTGGCGCTTTCAGGTTGGCCAAACACTGTGGAACGCAGGCCGCGCTCGCTGCTTCAGACCCCGACGGAGACGAGCTGCTTCAACCGCCGATGAAGGTCGTCCACCTGCAAAGGAAAAAACCCTGGGACGCCCTCGGTGTTTCCTGGTTCTGTGGATCTTGCGTTCCGTTCTTTATTGGTAGGTGCCTCACAGGGATTTGCACTGGTCATATAGGCAGATGGGGCTACTGTTGAATCAAGGAAAAGTGGTTGTAAAAAATAGTTGAGATAGATAGGTGATTGTGTGATTTAGAGGGTTTGTAGATATATAATTTTCTGATAGGAATTGTGTCTTACTGCCTCTGGGAAAGGCAAGCTTCGCACAGAAAGGCAAGCTTCACAAGCCCTCTCTGAATGCCTCACAAAAATGCTCATCTATCCTTCCGAAATCCCGGTGAGGTAAATCACCGGACCCAAGGATGATAGACATTTGGACCCTTGAGATCCAGGCCAAACTCTTTGAGAACCAGCCGATCCCAGCCGTGCAGCACGATCGCACGATCTCGTCAGTGGCCGAAGCATGCTTGAGCGTTTGGACCACCAAAGAATCCCAACAAACACCAAAAGGATCCAAAAAGTCAAGAAGAATGGTTTGGTCATGAGAACCGCCCAACCCAGGAGGTTCCTTTGTGCAGAAATTCTGTTTGTGGGTCTTTGGGAATTCTTCCTGATGGTTTGGTGATCCTAAGATATGCCCCAGCCCTTGAGGCCTCAGCCAGCCCACCCGTTGGTGCCTTGTTCCGAAGTACGGTGAGGCGCTGCCCCTGAAGTCAAAGTGACCAAGGTCCAATGACTTGGTTCCAACTTGAGCGAAGCAAAACATCATCCCAATAGGTGATGTTTCGTTTGGAAGTGGCCCCAGAGCACGGAGACCAATATCTTGTGCGGCGGCTACCCTCAAACACCCAGAACAATGGACAGGTTTATCGATTTCCTTCACAGCAATCTTTAACTTACATGCTTCGCATGTTCCGGCATCCAAAATGCTGCTGCATCATGTTGAGCCAACGGGTGTTTGCCCGGAAAGGCGACCTTTCCGATGGCCCAACATGGTCCGGTGGGATGCAAATGATCCACTTTGTTGATGATGCGAATGATGGGCTGATGAGCTGATGCGACACGTCCATGATGCGGATGATGCCCTAATGCGTTACGAAAAAATGCGGATGATGCACTCATACGTTACGGACATGATGTGGATGATACGCTGATGCGTTGTGATGTTGATGATGAGCTGATGCCCTGCGCACATGATGCGGACGATGCGCTGATGCGTTACGGTCATGATGCGTAGGATGAGCTGATGATGATGTCTTGAAAATAAACGCGAGTCATCGTCTTCGAGTTCATGAACTCCAAGACGATGAGTTGAGTGGCCCGAAAGGCCAAAAAAACTGTAAATCGCATGGATTTCTAGCCCTCAGCATGTTGCTTTCTGGGCAAGCCCCCCAGTTTACCCATGTTGCATCTCCCCTCTTGCTCAGAACGCAACATGATCTGACCAATGCCCAATGAGACACCCCAAATCCCGCTTGGGTATCCCTGGGTCAGTCAGTCCACTTGACTGCAAGCTGGCACAGTCCCGTTCAAGGACCATCGATTCACTCATTGCATCCACTGGAGAAGGCATGTCGACCTACATCGTC